AATTTTGCTTAGCATAATCCCTTCCAAAGGCTAGTTCTTTAAATGGAATACATTTAACTTTATGGAACCCTGACTGTCTCATTCTTATTTTTCTCACATTACTTCACTGTTTAGTTTGCCGTTGCTGCTGTAACAGGATACCAGAAATGTCAATCGACACCCCAATTTGTCTCACCATTCATGGGCCAGCAGTCCAGGCACCGGGTGGCTCTGGCTCCGAGGGTCCTCTTCTCAGGGTGTCACAGAGCCCATGCAGGGTGTCAGCTGGGAGGGGTCCTTCTCTGGAGGTTTGATTCATTCAGATTGTTAACAGAATCAGTTTCTTGCGATTGTAGGACTGAGAGCCTACAATCTCAGTCAATGGACTCTTCGATTCCACTCTACTACCAGTCATTAAAAAAAAAAAGAAAGAAAAGAATACATCACCAGGGCCTCCCCTGGTGGCGCAGCGGTTGAGCGCTGGGCTGCGAAGCTGCCAGCAGCCTCCGCAGTGCCGGTTCACTCCCCAGCCAAGGCGAGGGTCCCACATGGCGCGCAGACCTCTCCTGCCGCCCACTGCTCCCCTCAGCAGTGTACTTCATCAGTCTGTCTGTTCTGCTCTCCGCTCTGGTGAATTCTCTCACCCTCCCGCACTTCTGACTGTACCCAGTGCTTGTATAATAAATAAATAAATCTTTAAAAAAAAAAAAAAAAAAAAAAGAATACATCACCAAATAACTCTGCTTTTCAAGGCTTGTGGGATGACATTGGGCCATTTGGAAAATGCTTTGAAGTCAATTGATTAGTAACCTCAATTGCATCTGCTAAGTCCCTTTTGCCATGCAGCATAACATATCCAGAATGTAATATTCCCTTGGGGGAATATAATACCAAGTGTAATCGCCAAAATTCCGCACTCAACCTGGTGAACGCCAAGTCAGATAAACATATGTACACTTGGGAAGAGTCTTCCAGTTCAAATACTAGTTGCCAAAGAGTCTCCTATTCTTGAATTGACATATTCAGAAGTTGTGTATTTGTGAGAAGCTGGAATACCATTATTAATACTCTTACACTGATTAAATTCTGGGGAGATGTTTGCTAAACAAACAAATATTAATATGTTCATTGTTGCTAATACTATTTTAATATGACTTTGATTATAAATCCTGTGATACTGTGTTATCATTGTCATTAGCTACAGATTAGAAAACAAGCTAAAATTATAACAGGAATATATTAAAATGGGAAATGATTCAGTAAATCATAGTAGGAACAATTAAAACATGAACTGCTCTGTTATATATGCTTATGCTCCACTGAAGGTAGAAAGCGTGGCTTTCAATCAAGAACAGAGACAATTACTAGAGGGTCCCAAGCAACAGCTAGAACTTAATCCGTCTCCTCCTTTTTCTTCCTTTTCCTTCTTCCTTGTCTTCTTGCTCTCTTGGCAAAAAAATTAACTTGACCAGTTTTAAAATTAAATGTAAATTTACAAATGGTATTCTTTCTGGAATCTCCACTGGCTACAATGCAAACTCCCTGGCTTGGCTTTCAGAGTCCTCATGCCCCTTGCTGTCATCACTCAATCTCAAGCTCCCTTGCCAGAGTCCTTCCTGGCCTTCCCCAGGGCCCACAACCTGAGCACTGCCCACTACCTGACAGAGCCACTCTGTCCCTGCCCTCCCAGATGGTGAGCTCTGTCTGAGGCCAGGCATGTCCTAGGTTTACATTTCTATCCCTGCCAGCACCCACAGTGGGTCAAACACAGAGTCTTTCAGAGAAAAGGAGAGTGAGCAACAAATCCTAACCCACTATGGTCCCACCTTCTGGCCAATTTGGGGAAGAGAAGGTGGGAGCAGAAGGACTAGGGAGGATATGATAATGAGAGAGGTAGAAGCAGAAAGGGAAGAGAGAAAGCAGATACGCGGACTCCTCCTGAGTCCTTCTGGAAGGACTGAGCTCTGGAGAGACAGCAATGAAAACAGTGACAGAATCTTGTGCCCAAGGGTTTGTGTTCCAGCTGAGAGGTCAATCAATATGTAGGCAAACAGAAAATTGACAAGATGATTTCAGATCATCTTAAGAACTATGTTAGGGCAATAAATAGGGGGGCATATTATAGAGTGACTGCAGGTGGGGACCATTTTGATAGGGGAACAGTGATGACTTCCTGGGGCGGTAACAGCTAAGCTGAAGCCTAAATGATAGGGGTGAGCCCTGCCAGGAACCAAGCGAGAATTCCTGCAAAGCAAACAGCAAGTGCAAAGGCCCAGAGGCAGGAAGGAAATTGCTTTCAATTTCAAGGAGCAAAAAAGGGACTAGTTCTTTGTGAGCAAGGAGGGGAGAGAAGGGTTAGCTGGGTCAGTGTGGAGGCAGCTGTTTCTCATGGCTTTTTTTATCCATTATAATAAGAAGGTTAGGAATTTTATACCAACTCTGTAAATAAAACAGATTAGTTACTATGTGACCATTTAGCCTAACAGAGTATTTTTTACATGCTCAGGGTCATTATTGAGGGTCACCTGACTGGGGGGAATATAAGCCCAAACATTTTATAATTCTCTAAACTTGGTAAGGTGGGTTGATTTTCAGTGATTTTCTCTTCTATCCCAAAAGATTATAGTCTAATTGTGCTAAAGGGTATTAATTTGTTGTGTATATCATTTTGCAATCTTATTTTTTCATTCACTATAGTAATCTCTATTTCACAAATTTACCTTTGAGGCCTACAGATCCATTTATTAATAGATTAAATAAAACCTTGACATGTAACCCTAGTAATTTTCATGAAAATGGTGTTTTTAACTTGATGAGAATTATATTCTGGTAGGAGTTTAGGTTTTAAGTGCACACCAAGCAGGAGAGTGAAAAGGACTAATTTATGTTTGGCAAAGACCCCTCATACTGCTAAGCAGTGAAGGGGCTTCCCTCTGGCCGGAAGGGAAGCAGAAGCCCCGGCAGCAAGCAGTGGCTCTGTGCTGGGGACACACAACCACAAGGCTCTCAAGAGAGGTGGAGGTGGGAGGTGGGGAGTGAGCCCCCCTGGCTCCTGACATTGAAGTTTGTCCTCCTTCCGTTCCACGTGGGGTGCCAGCACCTGTCCAGCGGGCTGTTTTCCTCTCTGGCACCTGAGCTCCTTGACGGCGCTTTGAGTGCTTTTGTTTCCTCCCCAGCCAGCCTGGGCTGAACACACACTCAAGTGTGTACTGAATGCATTCTCTTCAAATTCAGTTCTTCCTTTCCTCTTTTTTTTTTTTTTTTAAGATTTATTTATTTTTATGCAAGAACCGGGGTACAGGACAGATGCGTGGGAGGGTGAGAGGATTCACCAGAGACAGAGCGGGGAGCAGAACAGGCAGACTGATGAAATACACTGCTGAGGGGAGCAGCGGGTGAGACAGGAGAAGTCTGCTGCGCCATGTGGGATTCTCCCGGCCAGCTGGGATCGAACCTGAGCTGCAGAGACTGGGGACAGCTTCACAGTGCGGCGCTCAACCACCTGTGCCCCAGGGAGGCCCCTTCCTTTCCTTTTCTTGAGGGAACATTAGTTTAGACATTCTCTGAGTTTCAGTTGCCCAGATTTTCATGTCCGTGTCTGTGTATGCTGTGTTATGCTTATCGCCAAAATTCTCCTGTCCACCCCTCACCATCCAACTGACCCTTTTTCCCATCACCCAGCCCACTCCCCACTGCCTTTCTGGCAACCACTGCTTTGTTCTTGTAGTCTAAGAGTCAGTTGCTGTTTTGTTCACTCACTTGTTTTATTTCTTTAGGTACCAGTGAGTGAAATCCTAGGGTGTTTGTCTTGCTCCGTCTGACTTATTTCACTAAGTCTGTACAGACTGTAGGTCATCGTGTTGTTGCAAGTGGCAGATTTCCTCTTTTTCCTTAGAGCTGAGTAGACTCCTTGTGTATCTGTGCCACTTCTTTATGCAGTTCTCCACCCGTGGGCACTCCAGCTCTTGGCTATTGTGAATAATGCTGGATGGACAAGGGGGAGGGTGCCACCTTTCCTTTTTTAAATTGTGACAAAATATGTGTCCCATAAAATGTACCATTTCCACCATTTGGAAGGGTCCAGGTCAGTGACATTAAGTAAACACACACTACCGGTGACAACTTCTGGAGCATATTTATATTCCCAGACTGAACCTATGTCCCTTAAACAGCAACTCCAGTTCCTCCTTGCCAGCGTCCTTCCCAAGGAATATTCTATTCCTTTGTCCATCAGCCTAACTGCTCTTGGTACCTCATATACGTACAATGGTGTCTCCTTAGTTGACTGATTTATTTCACTTAGCATAATGTCTTCAAGATTCATCCACATTGATGCACATAGGAGTTTCCTCCCCCCTTTTAAGGCTGAGAAATATCCCATTGAATATCAATAACACCATTTGTTTATCTCTTCATCTCTTGATGGATATTTGGGGTGTTTCTACCTTTTGGCTATTGTGAATAATGAGCACAGGTACAATTATTCCTTTGAGTCCTGGGTTTCATTTCTTTTGAATCTCTACCAGAAGTGGAAGCTAGATCATGCAGTAGGTCTCTTTAACTTTTGGGGAACCAATGAACTGTTTGCATAGTGGCTGCACCATCTTACATGCCCCGCAAGCAATACCCTAGGGCTCCAATATCTCCACAACCTCACCAACAATTGTTATTTTCTGCTTTCTTGATAATCGCCATGCTAATGGTATGGATTCTTCTTCTTTTTAAAATAGAAATGACCAAAATACCTCACCCAGAGGTATTTTGTAATGCTTTTGTGATCTGAAAGGAGATAGCTGGGGAGCCACAGGCCTGAGATTTGGGGAGTCTGTAGAGAGAGGAGAGCTAGGATGGGAGGCTCCAAGGTCACGCTTTGCTTCACTTGCAGCACAGGCACAGAGCTGGCCCCACAAACCCAGAAGTTTCCCATGGGGAAGATTTGTTTCTGTGAATCCACCATTGGGCTCTTGCCCCTGGGAAATCATTTCTAATTTGGACTTCTTTTTCTCTGTGTTGTTCCCCAGTGTGATAATGCGAAAGGATTGAAAGCCTTCTACGATGCAATAAAATACGGGCCAAACCACTTGATGGTGTTTGGAGGCGTCTGTCCATCTGTTACGTCCATCATCGCCGAGTCCCTCCAAGGCTGGAATCTGGTGCAGGTAAGGTCCGGCCCGCCTTCGGGGGGCCTGTCTTTGCGGGCCACCAGTTTTTGCAGGAATGGTCCTTTGTCATCATGATCCCTGAGTTGCCCAATCCAGATCACCCCCACTCTCTCCTGGATCGTTTCATAGCTTCTGTCTGTCCCCACCTTGTGGCCTGGTCTCTTCTGGCCTGTCCTAGCGCAGCCTCCACATGGAGAAGAGCCCCAACACACCACCCTGTGCTTGAAACTGTGCAGTGACTCCCTAGCCTCGCTTTCAGGACCATCAGTGTGCAGACTGTCTGTCCAGTGTCGTCTCCTGTCCCTGCCCCCCACTCCATGACACAGCTCCTCCAGACACTTAGCCTTAGCCTTTCCCTAGATGCACCTTGGACCTCCAGGTCTCCATGCTCTGCTCTACTGTTCCTCACCAGAGGGCCCTTTTTCTACTTCTACCAAATCTCCCTCTCGCACTGAAATCCTCTTGTCCACTCCACTGCCTCTCTTCTTGGTTAACCCTTTCCTGGGGCTCTTGGCCAGCTATTCACTCTTTACACTGGCAAATGTTAAATGCCATTGAGTGTCCCAGCTGTGAGTATACAGTCTTTTTTAGGTGACACTCACCAGTGTTAACTGTTACTTGGAATTGGAGAAAGGAGAGTGTAGAAAGATGTAACCATCGGGGCCAAGTGGTGGTCCATGCACATGTTTTACTTTTATCCGTCCATCCATCCTCCCACCTGCCCATCCATCCACCCACCCATCCATCCATCAATCCATTCATCTACCCACCCACCAATCCATTCATTTTCCATGCTCCATCCATCTAACAAATATAATCGGCAAACTATCATATGCCTGGAATTTTGGTAAATATTGGGGATGTATTAATAGCATTGAACATGATAGACATGATCTCTATCCTCTTGGAGCTTACATTCTAGGAGGGAGGCAGGCAATAAGCAAGTATGCAATTAAGTAGTGATACTAAGAGTGAACACTGTATGATATATGTAAGGCTTACTGTATACCAGGTACTGTTCGAGCACTTATATGCATTAACTCATTTAATCCTTATAACTGCTCCATGTTGGAGATGCTGTTATCCCCATTTTATAGGTAAGGAAGCTGAGGCCAAATAACTTGCTTAAGGATCCACAGCTCTTAGGTGCTAGAATAAGGATTTAAACTTAGGCAGTCTAGCCCTTGAAATAAAGCTGTGGGCTACAACAGAAATAAATATGATGGTAGGATATAGTGACTGCTTTGTAGTCAAGAAAGGCCTCTTGGAGGAGGTGATATTTGAGCTACGCCTGAAGGAGCTGGTTGGGTGGATGGAATAGCAAATGCAGACAGTCTGTGGTAGGAAAGAACGTGGCATGTTCACAGAATAGAAAAGAGGGCAGTGGGACTTGAAGGGGGGGGTAGAGGGTCAGGCTGGTGAGAGTGAGAATGAAGAGGTAGGCAAGAGCAGACGATAGGGAGGGGTTTGGTCTAATGCCACTGGCATCAACCCTGCATGCATGAGGAGGTGGGGGCAGAGCCCCAAGTTCACTGCCAGGAGGGGAGGCGGGAACCAGCTATGGCAGAGGTGTGCTGAGGGAGGGGTGCGGTCTTGGGGGAAGGCCACCCACCCAATCAGGGATCATGGAGAGCTTCTCAGAGGAGGTGATGCAGAGGTGGCTTTGAAGGAGGATTAGGCATTGGACAGCTGGAGACGCGGAGGAGAGCACTGCTGGCAGAGGAACTGGGTGTGTAAAGCAGGAGGTGGGAAAGTATGTGGGCTCAGGGAGCAGTGAGTCACTCAAGGTGGCCGGAGCAGGCCACGCTGCCTGTGGGTGGATGCAACAGGAGATGAGGCCAGAAAAGCTACTCTGCGTGCTATGGAGCAAACTGAACTACACAGCTGGGAGCCAGCACTGCTCAGGGAGCAGGGATGGGAGCCTGATGTCAAACCCTGACATCATGAGACCTGGGGCCAGTCACTGAGCTGCTCTGCACTTGGGCTTCCCTTCCCCAATGTCCAGGGGCACATACCACGCCCTCCCCGCCAGGGCCAGCGCTGTCACTCTGAACCTCAGTCCCTCATCTATAAAATCAGGGTAGGAAGAGGACTGATTTCACAGGTTGCTGTGTGGATCAAACAATTAAAAAGTAATTAGAACTATGCCCCCTACATCCTAAGCACTAAGTGTTCCTTGTCTTTTTGGTATTGTCACCCCTGCTACTTCACATTCTTGGCCTTCTCTGCAACACGGTTCCCACCACCTAGAACACCCCACTTGCCCCATGTCCAGTGTGTCAAGTCTTACCCATTCTAAGAGATGCAGCTTCAATGCTGCTTCTTTGAGAAGCCTCTGCAGATTTGGGGGTTTCGTTAGTTGGCTGTGAGCTCCATGGGGACAGACCCCGGTCCTGAGTTTCTCCTGCTTCCCTGGTGCCTAACTCATCACAGACTTCACTAGATGTCTGCTGAATGTTGAGGGGATGGTGGGGTGGAAGGGCCTGCAGATGGACATTCTGATCAGAGATGAGCCATGCTCCCTGGGGAATCCCTACCCAGAGAGGAACCCAGGGAGCTTACTGACCCTCTTACAGCTTCAGTAGAATTGTCTGGAATTCTTTGAAAAGATACAGAAGTCAGCACAATGCTAGAACATCCTGACTTGCCAACCAGAGCTTCCTGCACTCGTCATGAGCAGGACAGTCTGCAGCCTAGAGGATCTGATAAGATAGGGAACTGGGTTAGGAGGGGGGTTGTATTAGTTATTAATTGCTGCCTAACAAATCACCCCAAAATGTAGCCACTTAAGACAATAATCATTTATTATTTCATTTTTCCTATGGTCAGAATTTGTAACCTGCAGGATGGATTGTGTCTGCTCCATGATGCCTATGGTCAGTCAGAAGATTCGAAGGCCGGAGGCTGGCCTTGACTGACTGGTGGTGGAAGGTCTGCTCTCTAGATGTCTCCCTTACCTATCTGGGACTTGGCCCCTTTCCCTGTGAGTCTTTCCATAGGGCTGTTCAAATGTCTTCATGGCAGTTGGCTCCCCTCAAAGTGAGTCACATCAGAGACAAAGACACAGGTGGCAAAGTCTTCTAGGACCTAGCTTCAGAAATTGCATGCCATCTTTTCTGTTGTATATTCAGTTAGCATACAAATTAGTTCTTCGTAGTGTGAGAAAGAGAACTACACAAACTGTGGCGGAAGATGACTGTCGTGGAGGCTGGCTACTAGAGGGTCTAACATCCAGGAGGAAAACAGGATTCAAGTTGCCCAGCAAGGGAAACTTGATATAAATCCCTTCTCTGCCTTGTACAACTCCTATTCATTCTTCAAAACCCTGCATCAATAACACTTCCTCTGTAATGCTTTCCCTGCACCTTTTCACTTTTTGTGCCTCCTATCCTTAGTCCCCAAAGTAAATCAAGTATTCTTTCCGAACATGCCTTCTCATTGGGGGCTATATCCCCCCAAGGGGGTTAAAATATTACTATGTATATCTTATATAAAGCAGAGATATATATGCAGTATATAGTGCATCTGTGGTATTAAAAGTTCACGAGTGGGTGGTATTTGGGAAAAATGTCTACATTTTCTTAGGAGAGTGATAGAAAGTAAAAAGAAGGTGGAGAACATAGTTCTACATCACTTCTATGTTGTGTATGGTATTCTGTTACTATCACATTTTGTGGAAAATCATTTCTTCTATATCTCAGTCTTTTCTGCTAGACGAGCAACTTCTTGGTGGCAGGGCCCCTGTTTTCTTCATCTCCTAGTTCCCAGTGCCTAGCACGGGGTCTGGCACACAGTAGGTCCTCAGTGAGTGCTGAACTGAACGAAGCACAGGGAATCCACTGGGGAAACCTGAAAACCTCCATGGCAGTTTCTCATAATGTGGACTTGACCATGTGGAGAGACAGAGGATTGTGAGAGAAAATGCAGGATCCCTCTGCATTGCTGACAGCCCCTTGGGGGTGACACATGAGCACATCTACCCCTGCGGGGGGCATGTGCTACCAGGCAAGGCCAGATCAAGGGCTGTTGCTGTGCAAGGGTTGGGGAGGGATGCTGAAGAGCTGGGAACTGGACGACGCCAAGGATGAGCCCAGGGGAGCAGATTCCTCTGTCTGTGGAACTAAGCAAGGGGGCCCAAAACGGAGATTTGGACCCTAATGGGGAGCAGTCTTGGTGCCTGATTTCTGCCTCCCCCCACTCTCAGGGAACACAGCCCCGTTGGTTTCGGGTCACATTCAGGGGACTTCCCCCTTCTCCTTGTGAGCTTGCTCGCAGAGATGGGAGATGAGTGGGTCTGCAGTCACCCAAGGAATTTGATGAATCCCTTAACTTATTCAAAACTGGGCTCCGAGACAGAGTTTGCAAATGGGAAAATGCATGTAATTTGTATAATTGAAAAGGAGCTCTGACTGCCCTTTAGGGGAACAATGCTTGCTGGACAGAGACCGTCTGGAATGTGTAATCAGTTGTTTCTGTTTCCTGGTGCTACAAAAATAGGGATTCGAGAAACAGAGGGTGAAAATTCACCCTGGTGCAGAAATTGGTTAAATTTAACTTTTGCCTTTTGCTGGGCTTCTTGATTCATAGTTGCTGCGTGGAGAGGCTAATATTGTTTAAGTCGTGATGTGAGTCAGTCGCCGGCACTTCAGCTCCTCCAACTACATGCAAGGACCTTACAGTGTCCAGGATTGGCCAGGCAGACACTGCCCCTCTCCAGCCCGGTCCCACCAGCCCAGGGGCAAGACCTCAGGTCTGGGCTTCACACTGGAAGGGACCAGCAGGGCATAACCTGGGAGAAGTCTGGAGAAGGTCAAAGTCTGACGCTCGGAGACCAGGGAGGGCTTGTTCAGATGGGAGAACACGCAGGATGCTGGCAAGGAAGGAGTCGTGGCCTCCAGAGCTGCATGGCTCTTTCATGAGAGATTTTGCTGGTTTCCTATGATGTAAGTGGGGAGGAGGGGTGCATTTAGAGGGGAGCAGAGTCTATGCTCCTTACA